ATTCATTGTGCCCCGCCCCCTTCCTTAAGTGCTACTAATGTAGAAAATGAATTTAATTGTGCAATGTTGCTGTTCTGGGGATTGGGGAGATTAGTATCCCATTTACTTATACGGTGGGGACCCGGCTGTTTTTGAGGTAAGAAAAGTCCCATCCAAGCGGGGTTTCTGCTCTCACAGTGTACACCCACCTGCCTCTCCAGCTCTAAAAGCTACCACAGTGCTGGAAAGGGATACTCTCAGCAGAGAGGTGTGAAGAGTTGTTTAACATTTTGCCCTTGAAAGCCACCTGGGGAAGTTCCCCCACTTTTATTTTTTAAAATTAAATAATTTTTTTAAAATAAGAAGGCACTTTTAAAATTAACACACACACAAACTGCACATCTTCCCTATAAAGTTTGGGGATGGGATGGGAGAAGGAGCTAGAATTAGGCTCAGTTCTCCCCACTCTGGCCTCTATTCCCCATACTCCAGAGCCACTGTGGGTGATTATACTGGCCCTACAAGGCCTTCCTGGCTTTTTTCTTTCCTCCCTCCCCCCAAATTCATTGAGCACTTAATAAAGGAGCAGAGCTACAGCCTATGTCTGTGCTCCCCCAGTGGTGAAATGATCTGGAAGCTAGACACTAGTAACAGGTAGTGATGGGGTTGTTTCAAGTATTTTTCTGGGGAATGTGTTACCCCGACTGTAAGTGGTGGGAGGGGGGTGTTAATGGAACTGGGTGTGGTATTATTTTAAAATTATATATATATATATATATAAAGATATATTCTTACATCTCTTCTTTGCCCTCTGTGCTTTGAAAGCACTGGATAAATCGTTTGGTTTTGCTTTTCTGTCTTCCATGAAATTGGAAGCTTTTTAAAAAAAAATATTTTCCCTACAAGTCATCTTGCCTTGTGGCATGTCTGTCTAGCCCCTCCCCCTCCCCCCATGATGAAGTGCCATTTCTGTTATGTCTCCCCTCCCCCAGCTCAGAGGTGCTCAGAGGTACGAGGTGCCCAAGTTTGTCAGTTGAGATTAAAAATAAGAAACAGAGAATGTGCAATATCGTTTGGCTGGGGTCTGTCCCTGCCCTGAACTGAGCCCCTTCCCTGGGAGCCAGGTCACCTTTGGATGGTGTTTGGAAGTAAGATGTGTAGAGAAAGGGGGATGATGGGGAAGGAAAACCTATAGTTGAGTGCCTGCCAAGGTGCTGAGGCAATGGGGGAGAGGGTGGAGTCTTTCCTGTTTTTATCCCCTCAGGGTCAGTTACATAGAGGCTGCTTATTCACTAGTAAAGCTCCATGACCCTTTGCTCAATCGCTGAGGTTTGATTTCTTACCCTCTCTTCTCATTTTCATATCCTTCCCAGGGATTAGTGATGGGGGTAAGGATTCCCTAAATCATGGTAAAGTATTAGCCTTCCACCTCCTTCCTTCCCTCCCTCTCCCCTGTCTTCCTCATTTCTCTACTTTTTCATCACTGATTGCCTTGAGTCCCTCCAAGCCTATTGTCGCTGTCCATCCGCAGGCCTTGGGCCCCATAGACACTAAGCTAAAGATAGGAGGAAAGACCCTCTATTCAGAGTTATCCTTATCCCACTAGTTCTGCCTGGCTTTCTCCATCCCCAAAGCCTCTAAAAGTCGTAGTTTATTGATGGTGGCTTACTCCCTAGAAGCCGGAAACGGGTGGATGAGTGGTAAGGCTTGGGTAAAGCTGAGGGACTGAGGTCCTTATTTGTCTCTCTTTTATTTTTCTTTTCTTTTTTTTTTCTTTTTTCTTTTTTCACTTGACCACAGCATCTGGACTTCCTTCATCCCTGGAATAAGTATTTTTTTCCACATTTTTGTATGTATGTATGGTAGACATATTTTTTTTAAAACAGAGATGTGTTCCTGCTTTGGTTATCTTTCCTTTCCCCTTTAAAAATAATTAGCTATAGAACTGCTTTGTAAAGATGCTTCTTGATATTTTACTTTTGTTCCTTTCCCCCCTCCACTCCCTTTTCTCCCCATTCCTCCAGAAGGCATAACCCTTCTCTCCACCCCACCCCCACCCCAGTCCTAGGCTCCCTTCCCCTCCAACAAGACCTTCATTAGCTTATGATATTTGCTGCCGAGATGTTATAACAAGGACTCATTCGTGTATATAAGCTATTTCTTGATTCATTTAAAAGGAATTGTACATTGTGTAGAAAAAAAAAAGCTGAAAAAGAGAAAAAAAAGCCCTAGCCATGGATATTGTGAAACCGTGTTATGTCATTTTGTAATGTGCCCGTTTGTGTATGATCCGTGCAAAAGGGTTTCTGGGGAAGGGGAGGAGGTAGGGAGGCAGGGCTGTGGAGGGTGGGGAGGAGAGTGGGCCGGGCCCAGCACACTGAGACTGGCAGCTGCTCCAACCCTGTCCCTCCTTAGAGAAGCCACCTCCCCCACCACCCACCCCTCATTTGTGCCTTGCCTCCCCACCCTGGAGTATTCCCTCCGGGTCACCAGCACTGCCTTGGCAGAGCCCACTCCCTACCCTAACCTGCCCACCCTCTCTACCCCCCCAGCATTAGGGTGATACTGTGGGGAAGTGCTGGGGGTTGGAAGGTAGCTGAGGAATGGGGCAGTTCCTGGGGGCATTGAAACCAAGTATTATGAATTGTAATTGTATTTGCACTGTTTTTTTCCCCCTTCTTACTGCATCAGCATATATACAATATACCTATATAACAAAATTTAGTGTCAAGCTTTCTTATGCAAGGGATTTCCCCTACCTCACCCCCCCCCCCAAAAAAAAAGAACCTAGTTTCATGGGCCTTTGATGGGGGGGATTGCCAGGGGACGATAGAAAGGACTTTAACAAGTCATCCTAAGAAAGTCTCACCTAGGGAAAGCCCTATCCATCTTTGTAAATCGGGGTGAGGCTGGGCTTCTATGAAAGCTAAGGCTCCTAGTCCAGACTTGAGAGTAAAGAGAACCACAACACAAAGTGGGGTGTGGTGGTGGCACAGTCTGAAGACCTGGGGTCTAGTCCCAAATTTTCCTACTAACTTGCTATGGTAGAATTAATTTTCTGGGTCTCAGTTTTCTTGTTTGTGAAATTACAGTGGAAATCATCTTGCCACCAAGTTAATGCTATGCTTCCTTCTCCAGCCTGCGAACAGCTTGAGGTGAGGAGAATGTTGGGCTGAAAACCAGGGAGAAAATCAGAGTAACTATGCTAAAGTGGTTATATGTGTGACAAGGCCCTGGGAGAGCTGCCAGGTTTCTGCTGTGGCTTGGTTTGGGAAAGGCAGCAGAGTGGTGTCTAGGACATCAGTAAACCTGTGGCATCTTTGCCCTTATGCCTCTAGTCATTTGAGGGTATGGACCAGGCCTCAGGCCGCACCTCACAAGCAGCCACAGGATCCTTAAGGGTGGGGTTGACCAGTGAATGCCCCAGGTTAGTGGTCTAGTGACTTACACCCTTTTTGAGCTACTGGTTGTGAAATGTCCCGTCATCATGGTGAAACAGTAGGAGAGCTCAAACATAGTCCCCATCTTGTCTCCTTCCCTCATATCTCATCTGAACCCCCTAAAGACAGCTGTCTCACACACAGTCTGTCTCTTTCAGGGGCCCAATTTCCCCACAGCCTGGGCTGAGTACTCCCACACACTTTAGGTTCTTGACTGGTAAAGCCTGGAGAGGATAGAGGACGATGGATGAGGCCCTGATAAAGGTGGAAGGATAGACCGGGGTGGAGGGTGGGGAGCAGGGAGGTGGGATGGGGAATGGCCC